TTTCGATCAGCTTTGCGTGTGGACCAAATTTTGCTGGGTGACTGGGCGTCTATCGGTCCGACGCTAGATGTGTTTAGGTTGCCACATACTCTAGAAGGAGTGCGTAATTTACTGGAGAAATGGATTGAGATTATGACTCCAGAGTACTTCATGGCAAGTGTACCCATTTCTTTCGAGTACCCGGAAGGAAACGCAGCCAAATCTGTCGCTGATGCACTACCTAATGGTGCGGATTTGCTGCTGCAGGTATTGCTGCCTTTAGCTGAAAAATCGAAGCTGCCGATTGCACTTAAATTTGACAGTGTGCGTCCAATCAATGCTCGCTACGGTGTAGCGGGTGATGGTGTGAAACCCAGTAATGTTGACATTCTGATTAAGCTGTGCAATAATTTCCCGCGAGTCAAGTTCTTAGCTACTTTCTTATCACGTGTCAACCAACATGAGGTGACAGTGACGGCCAACAAATTTCGCAACTTGCATTTGTATGGCTGCTGGTGGTATTGCAACAATCCGTCAATTATTGAAGAATTGACTCGCATGCGCATTGAGATTTTAGGAACAGCGTTTACAAGTCAGCACTCGGACGCGCGAGTTTTGGATCAGCTTATTTACAAGTGGAGTCACTCGCGTGAAGTCATTGGTGAAGTATTGGTGGATATGTATGAGAAACTCTTTGCAACAGGATGGAAACTATCGAAGAGTGATATTGAACGCGACGTGCAACGTTTGTTTGGTCAGAGCTATGAAGAATATATGGCCAAGGACATGTAAACTTTGGCGTGATCGTTGATATCCGAAACTGTTGTAACCGTATCACTTTTTTTCGTTTTTCTTGCAACGAGAGAAAAATGACTCCATACTTTAGCGAGAAAGTGAAGTCCCATACATGCGTGTGGGTCTTAGCCAAAGTGCGCTGGTACAACGCAATATGAGAATTAGAGATTACCAGGCACTGATTGATAAAAACTTAATTGAGATCGGACGTAGTAGACAATACTTTGACAATTAAGTGGGTACTTGCCATACACGAAATATTGGAAATCGGTGAAGTCATGTATGCTTCAGATTTAGGTTAACAACTCAAGAATGAACAACGACTAATGATACATTGTACAGTCACGATTGAAGTTCAAGACCTGATCGTTATTTCAATCGTCTCATTGCTTGGTTAAGTGCAGATTAGAAAAGCGCTCTTGGTGAGTATTTCAATTAACTGCCGAATATGGCTACAAAGTATGCGGATCTCCGTATATCGATGGAGCGAAACCGCATAAATCTTGATTCTTAGATACACAGGCCATAATAAATATCAGCCAGAATTGTGACCATTTATCGATGCCAATGTCACTCAGAAGATTGCTACTTAAAATCGTTTTGATAAGTGTTCTGACGAGTCAAAGCAGGTAGCTGAAAATGATCGTGATGGTAGCGGCATGCAAGCAAGTCACAAGAGTTTGCTCATGACTAATGAGTACGACAGATTTATACGATTGTGCCAGCAGCGAAGTTATTGAGTTATTGGTCGATAAAAACACACTGATTAGAGTTCGTTTAATCTTTCAAGATGCTGCTGCAACTTTAAGATAACCTTTATTATATTTGCACTCTGGGATGTTTGGTAGACATTACGAGAAGATATTTACGATGTCGAACATCAGCACTTATTTCGCCAAATTTAGACTTGTTTGGACAATATTTACTTTGGCAAATGATGTCTTGAATCTAACAGATGATCGAAGCTTGAGCCATATTTGTTGTATGCAAGAATCTATAACTTTTCAGATGTAGAGTAGATTCTTGCTGTTGTGTCATGTTCAGTGTTCATACAGTTCTTGTTACTCAGCCTTGAAGAAGTGCAAAATACTCATTTACCTCATCAGGTCCTTTACCTGCTTTTTCGAGCGCATCAAAAACCTTTGCCCGAATTTCCATCATTTGCGTTTCCTGCTTCTGTTTAGTCGTCGCTTCTTTCAAAGAGATCTCTTCACTCTTTAGCTGCAATGTCTCGCGCCTTAGTGCTTGCTGTTGCTTCCACTTGCTAACCTCAAAATCGAGGCGCTGGGACTCAACTATCAAGAGCTGCAATTCTGCCTCGTCAATATTAGGTCTATCCTCATGCATGAACTGCGGTGGCTTATGAACGTAGTTTCTGCGTGCGTCGAACGGCTCCTGAGATACGATCTTGCGCTTCTTTCCCTGCTCATGAGAATTCGGATACTTACCATCTTGTGGGAGCTCCTGTGCGGCCATCGCACTTAAGTTGCTCGTGATCTCGTTCGCTGCCCTGAGACGCCGTCGATCCACGTCGGACAATGTGCGCTTTGAGTTCATGTTTTTAGATTAGCGAGAAATCCAATTGTATTTAATAAATCTACAGAAGTAATGTAATGTAAAATAAACAGATCGACCTATTTCTTCACTATATCATATATTTGAGCGAGAATATAACACAGATAATTAAGTTGTTTTAACAGTCTAACATTTTACTCAATTTTCTCTATAATAGTTTTAAACGTTCGGCAATTCGATCGGCGCTTGCATGAGCGAGTACCATGCGCTGGATAATGTCAGCTCGAATATGCATACGCTGGAGTTTGATTTCCATCTGAGCAAGATTCTCTCGTGTTCTCATCTCGCGTCGCAGCAACTCCACCTCGAGCTGCTGCAATTCGTTCTCGCGCACCCACCGAAACTGTTCGAAAGCGAGCTGCTTGGCGCGAAGGAATGCTCGCTTTCGTTCGAAGTTTATGTCTTTGTTTACATAAAGAGGCTTGTGAAGGAGTTGGGGTAAGTGGCCAGTTATAAATCCGGCCTTTTCCTCGTTCAACATAGTTTTTGAGACAGCAGGTGAGCCTTCATTGCTAGTCTTTCCATGCTGAACAGATATTTTTGAACTTTTGTCCGTAGCAGCTAGAGAATTCTGGTCAACAGCCGACTCAATGGCAGCAGTTGATACGTTTTGTTGAGTAAGATGCTTAGATGGGTATGAGCTTCTCGTTCCCTTTTCCTCTTCTTGGTCACAAGGACCGCTGTTTATATTATCAGGCAGTCTATTTTGTCGACAATCCCGTCGCTTGCTTAATAAGTGCTGTCGCTGTGAAATGACCTGTGCAATAGCTGATCGAAGTGCATCAGGAGCTTGAGGTCGTGGCTGCACAGGAGAGGTTACGTTGGATTGGACATTTGAAGACAGTCCACCCAAATAAGCTCCGGAGGTTGCATTCACCATTTGCGATGATGGAGAACATCGCAACCCGTTCGGAAGTTTACTTTCACTTTGCGATTTCGGTCGAATTAACACTAACCTCGTCGAAGGCACGTTAGTAGGTACATCGCCCTGTGGTGGGATTGATTATTAGATTAACAAATTCAAAGCTGGACATATGCGATAAGTTATCTTACCGACATTTTTTCTGCTGAGTTAGATAGATTGCCAGAACTTGACAATTTTCTTTTCAGAGTGTTCTTACGAGCTGCTGTCATGGTTGGTCTGTTTGCTGATTCAGAGGACTGGTCAATCTCAGGCACTGACTTTGGCGCCTTTTCGGAAGAATTTCCGCGTTTTAGCTTCAGCTTATTTGAAGCATCCTCAACACAGCTAGCCGAATTCGATGCTCTTAGTCGAAAGCCCACGTCAACACACGTTGCTTTCGCGGTCACTGATGTAATTTCTTCATCATCTGATCCAAGCTCAATAAGTTCGAGCGGTTCATTTTCCTTCTCTGTCGTTAGCTTAGTCTGCTGATCCTGCTGTTCCGACGTTGTCACCACCGCTTGCTTATAACCATTTGGCTGAGCCACTTTTTTAATAGTGTTCAGTTTAGTGCTCTCGTGTATTTTTATATCCGCATGACCGTCGCCTTTCTGTTCTGTCGGACTCGGACGAAGACTACATCCATTATCTTGTAACCTATCATCCTCCATATCCCTATTCTGCGTGATTGAATTTTGTATTCCCGCTGCAGATGAACTCGGTGTGTCATTCTTGCGTATACTTTGACCTGCAGTCTCCTTCGCTGTGTCTTGACGAAGTGCACTATCCGTATTGGCTTTAGTGAGCGCATTGTCCTTGTTTATCTCTTCACATCGATCTCTTTCGACATCTTCGCTTGAAAGATTGTTTGCCGTCTTATTGCAAAGCGCTTGCAATCTTATAAAATGTGGACACATGGAGTTAAGTTTGTCTTCAATAGATTTAATACCGAAAACCTTGTCAGTACGGCTTAATGAAAACCCTGGCTGTGAAGCCTGCGTCGCCGTGGCCTTGAACAGAGCCAAATAGCGCTGTAGCATCTGTTTGGCATATTCACAGTCCCACATGGATCGAGGCAAGGATGCATTCACTGCCGCTGCCAGATCATTTAACGCCTGCCTCTCAGTCTGTTCGGCTTGGCGGTAATCAACATCACTTCGAGTTTGTTTTGATCCAACGAGACCTGATAGTATTGTTGCCCGCTGAAAGTTATCATTCTGCTCCAGCCACGCCACGATAGTATCCCGCTGGGACTCGGTCTCTTCCATGCTTTATAAACCACGCGGAGAGTGGCCAATGGCGATGCGAAAATTACTACTTTCTTAATTATACTTTCACATTGTTGAGGCACAATAACATACAACATTTGATACCATCTTCTTCTGACACATAATCTTTCGCAAAACCGACCAGCTTGCAGTATGGTCCTCTAATTCAATACTACTATGAGCGAACACCAAAATTCAAAGTCGTATGGGAGGCATTTGATAATCAACTCTCACCCTTTTGGCCTTTAAGCTTGTCGACGATTGTATAATTCATTCTTCAAATAGCACTATTCGTATATCAGTGCCGGGAATACTACCCGTGAATGCGGCCAAGTGTGCAAAATCCTACATATTACCTGTCCTCAATGGAGGATTGCCAACGCCTGATCAGACTCAATCGCTCGAAGTCTTCATTTGGAAACCGCTATATTGACGCTGTCAACACTCCTAAACATTGACCTCTCAAACTTCATTTAAAAAATATTTTTTTGATTTCGAATTATCCAGTCGCTCGCGGTACATGGTTGAATCAAATTCATTGAAACACGTTGCAATAGGGATGCCGTGCTCTTTGCACAAAAAACTTTAACTCTCAGTACCCGTGTTGACAAATGCACCGAAATTGAGTTCATCCACTCATACCAGGAGCGGCTGTAACGGGGTTACGCGTACTCTGGTATACAGAGGTGGGTCACACAAGATGAAGTGGCCGTACATAGGTGTTGCCAACACAAGATAGTATAATCACACAATGGTGTGGCGACACCGTAAAAAGAAGCCTCCACGTAACAGGACTGCCAGTATGCGTATAAATAAGGTTTTACTATTTAAATAAAAAAACCTAGAGCTTTAGATATAGGCGGCTCTGCCGCCATCGGGTCCTACAAATTACATTTTGAACGAAAGATTACATTTGCATTGGGGTAAGGTTTTGGCTACTCTTGAAAATACATGCTACATTCGTACGTCCTAACGTAAGGTCGGTAACTTAGCTTAGCTTCCTCTAAGATAAAAAGCAACGGCAGCTCCGCTGCACTTGATAGCACTCGTAGTCAATCTATGCCTGAGTCGTTACGACGGATCCTTTGTGAGGATAGAGCAATTCTCTTATTTGTCTCAGGGCATTCAGGACGGGCTTAAAAAGCTGATGTCTCTGGTTGGCCCTGGGGGCGTGCAACACTCGCTTCGCAAGGACCTGAAGCGATCAGTGCGCACCTCGAGGAAATTTTGAGCTATGAAAATGATCTGCTAGAGCACCTAAAGCAGAAGATGTCGGCGTCGACTGCGTCCATGACGCCACCGTTGACGACGGATGACTCCTCTCGACCCAAGTCGCTGATGGTGAGCGTTTAGACCTTCGGGGGCAAGGATGGACAGAATCACCTGCTCCGGGTGAGGGGGGTTGAGGTGGCCATGGCATCCACCATTATCCAGACCAAGCAACATCGCGTGGCGCCAGCTATGCTCGTCGAACCGACGTCCCGCTTCAAACCAGTCTGGTTTGTTGCGGGCAAAAGACAAAACCCAGTAGGTGCGTGGCGCCCTATTGGGTAAGAACTGTGCATTAGAAGGGGTAGAGGGCAGCTGGACCCAGCTTTGAAGAGGTCCGTGCTGTTAAACACGGAAAGAGTATGCAAGCCGGGCTTGCTGGTCGTAAAAGCGACCTTGAAGGGCTTTGAAAAGCATGGAAGATCCCGATTGACCCCGGGGCGTCGGGCTATTATGCTCAACGCTCCACAATAGAAGAAGTTCATCTGTATATGTATGCTGAGGCGCTGAAAGCGCGCTTGTGTAACATCTTCACCGATTGCTTAGCGACGGGGGTACAAACCACGGTGCCGAAGGTCCCTGTGGACCTTGGTGCCAAGTTTCTTGACTTTGTAGCGTGGAACGCTGCTCAGTCTCATACTTGTATTCAAGGTATGACCGCATTTTTGGTATGGCATGGCTGAAACACCATGATCCTTGGATCGACAAGAGATCGAAGACCAGCTCTGGTGAGTCATGAGCTCACCTCTTCTAGGAGGCAAAAAAGCTATTAACGCGGGCACGGACCGAGACGGTTAACGTGCTGGAGATCGGAGTAACCGAGTTGGTGGACACCGTAGGTGTATCGGACAGGAGTCCAGATCATGGCTCACCGGCTGAGCGCTGCTGAAGTACCAGAGCAGTTGCTGCATGTAATGCAAGGTATGGTTGGGTAAAGGCCGAGACATCGAGAATGAGGCCTCAATAATGCACTTGAAGTGGCACGTCATCCACTGGAAGGAGACTGCAGAGCTGGCAGCTCTTCGTCGGATGTTGTTAATAACATCAGGGCTCCGGTGGAACAGGAAGTGGGGCTGAAAATGGACGACGCTGAGACTGGCATCACCAAAACGGGCAAAAGCGACACCGTATGCTAGCTGCAAGATGCTGGGCGTCGATCCTAACCCTGGTTCTGTCTACCGTAGCTTATAGTGCAGCTATACACTCTCTTCTACGGTATGACGGGGGAGGAAGATGGCGATGTCTTTTTCGAGGCTATTCTTGCGGTATATTCTCTGCTCTGGCTGGACGATATGTCCTTAGAAGAGTTTGGCGGTGCCTTGAAGGTCGTCGAATTAGCCGAAGAAGTCATTATACGACCGGAAGAGGAGATCGACTCGTCGTCGCCTTTGAATGATGCTGTCCTGGAGGACTCCAAGTGATGCTGAAAGCACGAGGTGGATCTACGATTCTGAAGATTCCCTTGAAACCGTAATGAAGAAAATTTAAGACGTCGTCTCCAAAGACCCGCTGTCGGTCCTACCTCTGAACCAAGATGTGCGTCATGAGATCGACCTGGTTCCGAGAACCAAATACTGCGTAACATGCCAATGCGCCCTGCCTAAGGAGCTGCGTGACGTCATCGACGCCTTCTTCCTTGCGAAACACGACGCAGGAATGGTGCGTGAGAGTAAGTCTCCTCATTCAACACCCACGTTTTGCATCCGATAATCGAACGACAAGTGGCGTATCGTTCACGCTTACAATAAGCTCAACGCTGCCACCATTCTGACACAGATGCCGAACTCTAGGAAGGATGTCCTACAGAACGTTATGGCTGGATGTACAAAGCACAGTACACTTGACTTGGTCGATGGGTATGACCAATTGCTCATGAGAGCGGGTGATATTCCGTTGTATACGGTGAGTACTCCGAGCGGCATGCCGATGCCCCAAGAGCTGTCAAATTCACCAGCAGCATATAAATTGTCATGTGACACAGTTGTTCAGGCCCCACCGGGCATGTGCACAGACAAACTTCGACGACATCGTTGTTCACAGTCAAGCAAAGCACGGGAGTGATAGATGAAAAGAAACACACTATCAATTTTAGAACGACGCTCGAGTGCATGCGCACGAATAAGCTGTATGCTAATTCACACAAGTGCACCTTCGGCGCCGAAAAACTCTTATCATGGTGCTTCATCGGGAAGCGGGGCCTTCGAGCGAATCCCGCTAAGGTCAAGACCATTGTGGACTGGCCGGTATCAAATAACAAAAAGGACTTGCGCCAATGGCTTGGCCTCGCCAACTACTTGCATAACTTCAGCAAGAGTTATGCGAAAATGACACGGCCATTGTCGAATCTCCTTGAGAAGGATGCGGAATGGTGTTGGGACACCGAACATCGGGAGGTTTTGACAGGGTCAAAGACAGCATCCGTCATGCACCAATACTGGCGTTTCCAGTCGCTGGTCGTCATGCTTCAGACTTTGCCGTCGGCCATGCACTGCTGCTAGCAGCCGCCGAGGGGCGAGATCGGGCGATCGTGTTCAAATCTCGCCAGCTTAAGTCTGCGGAGAGGAATTACCCAGTTCACGACAAGAACAAAAATGCGATGATGTTCAACGCACACGTTCACTTCCATGTGGCTTTGCTGTTAGGTAGACAGCCGATTTAATTTTCTGGTCTGCAGCGGCTTTCCCAGGGGCGAGCATCACAAGAACAGTTTTCATTGCGGATACTGGACCACCTTCTTTTTGAACGCGCGGTACCAATCCATTGGGATTTCTTGGAGTACCAAAAGTGAGCTGCAGAGCTTCCCGCTGGACAAGCTCAGCTTGTGTAGCCGCCGGGGGTCTAACAACGTAGACGCCTAACGATCGCGTGATCGCATTTTTCGCTTCAGTAGCGGGATCCGCCGAGCGGAAGCCGTATTCCACACGAGGGTCTAAGACCGACCGTGAGATCTAGCGTATGATGGCCGCCCTACGAACAGCATCTATCTGCTGCTTCTGTGCCTCGTCGAGGTGATTGGCTATGATAACACTTCCCCGGAAGTGGAGAGGTCAGTAAATGTACACGGTGTCCGCAATGTTCGAGCAAGGCGCACGTCGCGCCGCTGGCACATCTCGACCCCTCTTCTTTATATCCTGGGAAAGGAGTATCCGACTCGTAGTTGACTTTCACCAAATCGTCGACGAAAAAATCCGCCGCCCGTGGCGGGCATGGTGCTCGGC